GAAAAACTCTTGCTTGAAATTTTTATATGACTGGGAGTAAAGGGTGAATAAACCCTCATCCCTACTCCCACTCAGAGACAGTAATCCATAAGGTGGAACACCTAGTTTCAGCTGGTAAAAATGAAGAAAAACGAGAAGAGACACCTCTATCCCTAGAGCTGAACACAGGACTTGAAAAGCCCGCAAAAAACCACAACTATTTGGGTGCAACTGGCAAGGAGCTGAGTTGATAAAATTCAAAAAATCACACTCGAATTGAGTGAAAGGAAGGCAGACGCCTAAATCCCTAAAGAAACACTGGTAGACATAGAAATGGGGAGGGTCTGCAGACTTCCCCATGTACACACCCTCACCGACCTGACAGGGTTCAAGCCGGATCATTTGGGAAATGGAAGGGTCATAAATTCTGTGTGATTTCCAAACCGCATTGACATCAAGGAAAGACCGAAACACACTTTGGGTCTCCCCCACTTCGCGCCGGACCCAGTCGTAGCCAAGGATGCCTGGAACGAGGTCCTTAGGCGAACCCTTCTTTTCGGCGGCGGCCTTTCCGGTAGCCACCACCTTGTCGCGCCCCTTACCTTTGCCCTTGGCAGGCGTAGAAGAGCTAGCACCACCCTCTCCAACCATCAAGAAACAAAAGACTCGAAGAAGATTTGAGAAGAAGGAAAAAGAAAACTATAGAAAGGAGGTACCTGGTACTCTTCCTCAGAAAATAACCCTAACAATGACTGGGTTGCCGGAAATAAGCGGCGAAAACTGAGAAAATGGAGATGAAGGACGAACAAAAACGAAGGAGAACAGCGTGCGCAAGAAGCCACAAGAGTGAAAAAGAGTAAAGTGGGAAAGGGAAGAGGCGCGAGTGAGAGAAAAGAGCACCCCAGAATTCAAAACGATCACAACACGTGTCACCCAAGGGACACACCTGACCACGCATTAAATGAGACCCATCATGATAGAGAAAGCCATCATTACATAACCGTCATGCCCATTAACGCGCCGACCTCGCGTTTCGAAATATGAAACGACAGTTGCAACACGTGGCCTCTTGACAGGCAGATATACACGAAAGGTCGCTGCTCCCTGACGAGCTCAGTCCTAAACTCCTCGACCCACGATCTTCGGAGCTCGGGGGGCTAGTGTACTATTCGTACTGCAAAGCCGAGCTCCCAGCTCGGCATCACAGCACAAGAGAACCTCAGATACGCGCTGTGTGACGTCAGCTCGTCACTTAATCAGATCATAACTGATCTCAGGCCCAAGGCCCAACGAAACCCTAATTCACACCAAGGTACGTGCATTACTTATACAAGACTCATACTCATACAAAGCCTAACTTTGGCATCGGAGTCTCTTTTGGAGGTACCACCCCCATCTTGGAGCACCAAACGTACCAGTGAAAGAGGCTCACCGATCTTACTTGGCAGATCATCTCTACAGCAGATATCTGATAAGAACAATTATGTAATGAGTTATGAAGAGATTACATTATGGTGTTTATTCCTTGTGTTCTTTACATATAGATGTTTTCTTTTCTCACCGTACAATTTGTGGATGTTTTAGGTGAGGAAGATCCGGCTATGAGTGGCATCTAGAATGCTAACAGTTGAGTTGTGGGTGTGCTCTAATAGTGTGACATCAGGGCAGAGGATCCTAGGATATAAATATTTAGTTGGAGTTGTATCTTTCTTTTAAAAATAAATTGTAAACTCTTATGTTTTATTTTTTTCAAGTTTCAATTATCTTGAATATTGAGGAACAATTATGAAGGTTTTATGTGAACCCTTTTACCAATGTTGAAAATTTTATTCTCTAGTTTATTTACATTTTTACAATATATATATGTTGGGGTCGTAAGGGTGTCACATCAAGCATCTCCAAGCTTAAAGTAATAACACTAAGTTAAAGTTGGTTCAGATAACAATGTTATTTCATCTTATTATTAAGATGTGATATGCTTATTAATTGAAAGAATGAATGTAATTTTACAATGTGTTCTTTGTGATAATGGTTCTGTCTATTCTTTATGAAATATAAGACTTCTTTATATAAGTACTTCCTAAAGATAATCATTGTAAATCTTTAAGCATCTTTCACAAGCTTACTTTGTTTGTCATCATTTTAGTTTCATAGTTTTATTTGTTAAAGCAAATCATTAAACTTGCCATCTCTTTCGAAAGACTCACAACACTTATCACAATTAAAATCATTATCAATGTTGTCACTATTCAACTAGTACCATCTATGTCACAGGACTATAGTTATAAGTCAATGATCATTATCGTCATTGTTATCATGTTCATCAAAGTCATCAATATTATCATCATCATTATCACTTTGATAGTTATGACTACTATCACATCATTCATTATTATTTGTAGTTATTTATTATCCTCGCTAACACGCTCATAAATTGTTAAATACCTTCACCACGTCTCTTGTCATTATTATTATCATTGACATCACTATTTTCATTGTGATAAGTCTACTATTAGGTTCTTGTTCATTGCCAGTTTTCATCACCCTTATCACTAAATAAGTTTGAATTAGAAAATTTAAAGTGGTTTGTATAGTTTAGACTTAAAATTCAGTACAATAAGAAATAAAGATTTGAAATTTAATATTTAAATGCGAAAATTTTAACGCTGAAAATGAAAAAGGGTTTATCTTTTTAATTTAAAACAAATCTTTACTTGATAGCTTTGCACATTCATTAGATTATTTTTGAATTTATTGTTTAAAATTATTATAAATGTAGAGTAAAACAAGAAATTTAGGGGACATTAGATATGGAAGAAGTTTTTAATTTTTTGAAAATCTTATATCCAAAATGTTGGTTTCTATATTTGATATTTATTTAATATAAAAACCTCAAGAAATATTGTTTATGGGAACCATTTTTTTCTCATTTTCCCACAAAATCACTTCCATTCAAGGGATTGGGAATCCAACTTTTCTAACTTTATGAGAAAATTTTAATCATATAAAAAATATCATAGCATTCCTTTCTAAAATGGAAAACATATAGTTAGAGTTTATCTTCTTTCAAAGTACCTCTCTCCCTCTCCCTTTCCCTCACTTTCTCTCCCATCCCTCATCTCTTGCTTTCTCCTTTCATGTCTCTCTCTCTTTCTCTCTAACACTTGCTCTCTCCCTCCTTTCTATCTTTCTCTCGTATGTCTCATTATTTTCTAATCCTTGTCAAATTTAATAATATTATTATAGCCTATTTTGTTTCTACAATTTAATGATATTTTATAACTTTTTAAATATTTTTTAAGGAAATAAAATAATATAATTATATCCTTCTTATAAAGTAACATTTATTTATTTATTTCTTTTGTTGAATTATTTATTTAAATAATTTAATTATAAGTTATCAACTTTTTAACTTTGTTTACTTTTACCAAATACAAATATTATTATATATATAATTTATTCATATATAATTAATTTTTTTATTATCTTCAATAAGTGATTAGATAATAAAAAAAGTTGAATGTTATATTTGTAATAAGATTTGAGTGAAATTTTTTTTTCTAATGAGGTTATTTTAATGAAGAATAATTTTATAAAAAAAATATTTATCAACCTATCATTGAATGTAAAAATCTTTAATTTCTAAAAATTATATAATTATTATCAAATTTTTATGAATAATCAAACAAATTGATTCCTATAAATTTAAAACCAATCTTTATCTTACACAAGAGTATTTTTATGAGTTTTTCTTTATCGAAAGAATTTTTAAATTTTTTTTTAATTTCTTATTTAATTCAATTAAATCCTTCAAAAAAAATTATTAAACAATCAATCCATATATATTAAACATAAACATCTATGTTAAAAAAGATTTCAACAAGAAATTTTTTTTTAAAACTTTTTTATCTAATTCATTCATAAATTAAATTTAATATTATGAAATAAATTATCAATAAATAAAAATAATATCATACTATAATATAAATTATTTATAAAAATTTTAAAAATAATTTATATGTTTAAAAATATGTATTTATATAAATTTTAAATATAATATATATATTTCACCATAATATTAATTTTTATATATAATTTATTATAAATTTTAATTAGATATAATAAATATTTAATGTGTATATTACAAAATTTAAAATATTAGTTTTAATTATTTAAAAAATTATAATTATATAATTTTTAAAAACCATAAATTTGAAGTATAATTTTTAATTATTTACCATCAAATAAACTAGTTTTTTTTTTCTTTTTGTTACTCGCTCCTGTTATCCTTGATTCATAATACTTTTAGAGCATTTTCGGGTTAAGCAACTCACTATGTCACATCATTTGCTAAATTAATTCCGGCCTATTTTATGGGTTGCTTAAATTTTAGCAAAGTTGCTTCTACAAACAATTTTGCTAAAATTTAAACAACCCATAAAATAAATCAGAGTTGATATAACAGTGATGTGACATAGAAAGTTGCTTATAAACAACCCCCTGCAAAACGAAAGCGATAAATAGCAGAAAATAAAGTTAAAAAAACGTTTATTCATTTTAATCTTTTCCAAAAAAGTAAATAAATACTCATCACATGTAAAAAAACAATGATGATAATAATTAGATAAAAATTATTTTTTAAAGAAAATAATTAAAATAAAATGGCAACAGCATTTCGGCATTGAATATCACCTCGTCTAGAACCCCTATACAATTAGGATTTTGTCAACAAAATAAATAGATAAAAATAACCAAATAAAAATAAAGAAGAAAATGCACCGCAATACACAAGACTAAACCGAAATTACCTAATAGTGTGTGTTTCAACAAGGGATTTTATAAATTTAAGAAATTTAAAATTTTTTGATATTTAAATTATTTCAATTTCTATTGTTATAAAAATATTTTATTTAGATAACTGAGAGAAACAGCACCAGAGAGAGTAAACGGAGAGGAAACAGAGAAAAGAAGGGAAATCGCGCCTGAAATTCAGATTTCCAACGGAAATTTTACTTTGACTTTGGAGCGAAGAGTAGTTAATAATTATATACAATAATTTTTAATTAATAAACAAAATTGTTTTGATGAAATTAGGAACAGAACTTGAAGCATCGCCATCAATGGCAGCCACGGACTATTTCATTTCTATTCTAATTCTAATTCTAAACTATATATACACACAAAAGATCGATGCATATCCACAATCTTCTATCGGATATCGGATCTAGGTTGTGGAAGTAACAAAAAAAAGAAAACAAATCTCAATCGCTGATTCGCAAAAGTGAATAATTCATAGTCACGAATTTTCTTCCGCTTTAGACATGGAGGAGAGCCTGCTCGGCCGCGGCCGGAAGTCGCCGCGGCGGCGCTGCTGGTGCGATGACGGCCGGATCAGCGCCGCCAAGGCTCTCTTCACGAGGTCGCCTTCCACGCCGCGGATTCTCACGAGCGAGTTCGTCATCGCCGACCGCCGCGCGTTGAGCCGGTTCGACGCGTACTGCGGCGGCGACGGCGGCGGAGCCTTGTGGAGGCTGCACCGGAACGAGCCGGGATGCGTCGTCGGCGAGCACATGCAGGTCCGCTTCTGGTGGTGGCTCTGCCTCTTGACCGCCTGGCCGGCACCGGCGACGGAGATGGAACGGTTCGGGGAAATCGCACCGAACCGGACAGAGGGAACCGTGGAAGAACCGGAGAGATTGACACGTGTGGGAGATGCGGAGCGGTTGAAGAAAGTGGTGGAGCGTGCGGAGAAAGTTGAAGTGGATGAGGCAAAGGCGGTGGAGGAATAGGACGGCGGCGGCGGCGGTGGCCGGGAATTGCGAAATCTGGCAGCCGGCGAGAGTGTCCTGAGGACTGGTCCGCTTGATTTTCTAGAAGCTGCGGCCATTTTAGAGAGAGAAAGTTGAGTTAGAGAGAGAGAGTGAGAGAAGGAATGAAAAGCGTGGGAACGGTTTGGTTTCGAGGTTTCTCGAAAAAGAAGGGATCGACCCACTGGTTTAGCAAACCTTGTTTCACTTCAACAATGTATTTATAGGAGTAGCGAAGGGGCAGAGTTGAAAGATGGTGATGTTTTCCATATTTTTGTTTTTGACTGTGGTAAACTTTTCGGATTTTCGTTTCTGACCCCTACTTTCTCGTGATTATTAATTGTGAAACACTTTACTTTATGCATTGTCATATTAATATATTAATATATTAATATATATATATATATATATAAAAGGAATTACAAAATAAGAATTAAACATTTGTTAAAAATTAAACATTCTGAAGAAAATTATTTTAATTATTAAAATATTTATAATAAAACATAGTATATTAAAACATTGAATAAAAGTGTAGAAATTTTTAGTTTTAAAAACTATAAATCAAATTTATTTAATAAAATTATTTTAATAATAATTTGCGAATATTTTGAGTTTAATTTTAATATATTGTTTTAAAAAAAATTTATACGATCAATTCATAAATATATATATATATATAGCTTTTAGATTAATTATTATAAAAGTAAAAAAAAATTATAATATATGTCAATATGTAATTAAAGGTTATGGTATATAAAAATGCAATTCAATAATAATGTAAAAGAATTTTATACACTCAAATATTTTATGACATTTAGCAATGATTAAAAAATATGAATATGTTTGGATTAAATGTTTAATTAAAGATAAAATACACACATATGTTATATATGAAATGAGAAAAATACACAATTATATAATAATTAAAATACAAGACCTCAATAGATTGGTTGAGTGGAATAAAATAGGATCTTGCATTTAACAAGTCACACATTTACTCATCTATAAAAGTGAGCATATCCAATTCAACCTACTAATCTTGTGAATTCAACCTATTAATATGTAGCAAGGATATCCCATCTACTTCAAGAAATCAGAATGCAAACAATTGATGGCATGTTCCACTAACATCATCCCTTCTAACCTATTAATAAGTATTTCTTATTCATGTGCATATCCAAAAAATAGTACTGAAACCTTACTAGAATTCCTGTTATAGTGTTAGAATATTTTTAGTCTTGCTACTAGTTAAGATATAGTTCCTTAAGGTAGTGTTTGGAAAAAAGAATGTTTCAAAATATTATGAAATTTGAAATGTATTATAATTTAATTCTTTTAATTAATTATCTTTCATTTCTAAACATCTTTTATTTGTATAAATCATTTCATCGATTTTTTTTCTTGTGTTTAAATAAATTATTTTAATTAATTTTCATCATGTGTTAATTTAATTTTTGAATATTTATTTTCAGAAATTGAGATTTTAATATGAAATTAAAAAATTGTCAATTTTTAAACTTTTGATTTTGATATCCAAATAAACCATTTTGATGTGTGGTAAGTTTTATTCATTTAAAATTAAATTCCTCTCTCAAAAACTAACAATCTAAATATACAATCCATCTATATTTCATTTTTAAATAAATATAAATTTTAAAATTGATTGGTAAGTTTTTTTTTTTGAATGAAAAATGCTGACTTTGTTTCATATGTATTTTTTGATGTTATTTAATATTTAAAACATAGCTTGTGTTGTTATTATTAAATATGAATGTTTTTTTTTTTGCATGGATATTGTAAAAGATAATACTAAAACTATTTATGAAACAATATCTAAATCTTGTTTTCTAAATAAAGGTTCTATATCCCTTAAAAAATAAAAAATGAAAATAAAAATAAACAAAAGTTCTATGTAAAGTTATGAAGCGAAAGAGACTAGAGGGTTTGAAATGCAAAAGATGAAATTTGAAAATGGTAGTAGATGAAATGTGGGAGAGTATCAAAGAAGATATATATGGTGTATTTAGTTAACATGGATCAAAGTTTAAAGGTGCAGAAAATTTTGTCGTCATCCCACAGGTTTCGGTTCATCGGTCACAAAACTGTGGACTAGCCCACAGATAAACTAAAAGTTAAAATATTTTGTTTTCTAAATTAATAAAAAATAATTTTGGTACCAATCTCAAAATAGTTATCTATTTCCATGGTCTTCATATTGAATCAGAGTATTTTTAAAAATTATTTTAATAATAGAATACTTTTAGTTTTTAAGATGAAAATATTTTTAAGTTTTATTATAAATAAAATTATTTTTTAAAATAATCTAATCGCATGTCTTATTTTTATCCTATATTAATTTTTTTATATTTATAAATTAAATTTTAATATTTTAATATTTTAATATTTTTATATATAATTTGTTATAAGTTTTAATTATAATAATATAATAAACACGTAGTGTAGATTAAAATATTAGTAAATATTATATTTTACTATATAAATTATATTTAAAATTAGTATATATAAATATTTAAAACATATAAATTATATTTTATATTTGTGATAAATAATTTTTATTGTAAAAAAAAATTATTTTTATTCATTGATAATTTAATTTAAAATGTTAATATTTAATTAATAAATGATTATGATAAATAAAAATCAAATTAGATAAGAAAGTTAAAAAAAATTTCTACAAATCTTATTGAAGATAAGTCCCTAAAAACACTTTCTCACACAAGATAGAGGTTTTGTGTTTAATATATAGGGATTTGTGTGAATGAAATTTAAATGTACACTTATTATTAGATATTGGAAGAATGTTAATAGATTTTTGTTAGATCAAAGGATGATTTGAGATTCTCAAAAGACTATATTTTAATGATAATAAACTCATATGCTGCTTTTGTAAAATATATGTATAACGTATTTTTTGTCTAAGATGATAGTTTAAGACATTTTTGCATGATAACCTCTCAAATGAATACTTCACCTGTCTAAGACAAATATTTTAAATATCACATTTATATGTATGATCTACTTTCGTTATTCTTTAACAAATCGAATGAATAAAAGTTTCTTTAATATTTTAGAAGAAATCCTTAACAAATTGAATGAATAAAAGTTTCTTTAATATTTTACATGAAATTCATAAAGGAATGAGAATTTACTTTTCATTAGAGACAAGGCAAGCAAATATGTCAAAGTGTGTGAAATCATTATTGACTAACGCACGTAATAGGTTCCTCTCTTATATACCATAAAGGTGATAAATAATCTCCTTGATCAGATAACAAAACAAGTAACTTTGGTGAAATGTGTAACGACCCACCTGGCTGTCACACTGCAGAGCAACACTACACAAGAATAGAATATCTATATACATATATCTAGCCTGAGACTCAACAAGTCAAGTATCTAATACTAACAAAATGCTACACCAAGGTAGCCTACACAAAAGATCAGCTCCAGTCACCACCTATGACACTACCGCTATTCTCTAGCCTATCCCTGCTCTGCTCACATACATAGTATGATTATCACAGTCCAAACCACATGGAAATATGTAAGGGTAAGCTAGTAAAAAAATAATCAAATATAGATATAAACAACTTACAACTTCAACAACAGAAACAACATTTTCAACACTTCAACGTTCAACACATAACAACAACCAACTCCATCACAGCTTCACAACATCGCAATAGATATGCAACTAAATCAACACAAAATCAACATATTAACAACTTATGTGTCGTCACGTATTTCAACTCGATGATCTCCAACAACTGAGGTTGAGCAGTCTAGGTGACATAAGCCCAACCAAATCCAGCATTTGACCTATCCCAACCAGGTCAGGTATGGGACATTGTTAGGAACTTCGAAGAGAACCAGGTATAGACAACAATAGGAGATTGCTCAGGTGTGCTATTTAGACTCGGAGGTCTAGTACTACTATCAGGACAGAAAGATTTGGGTATGAGCCTACCACGGCCTTGGCTAGCATCACCAATCCACATATGGAGTTAGCCCACCCAATGTCCTCCAAGTACCACGCACCCTCCAGTACTAGTCAAAGACTACATCTCTAACTAGATACCTTACTCAAATTGGTCATTCAACTATGACATGGATCGACTACTTCAATGTCGCCCATATAGTACTAAGGGATTCAACTTTAAAACAACTTTCAACTTATCTCCTTAGCACTATGTATCTCAACATAGGACATATATCTTCACCATATGTCCCCAACTTTTCAACTTTACAACAATAGGCACCATAACAACTTTACAACAATAAACATCTGGCCGCTTGTAATCGGTATAGCTCGGCCTGGCCCATATACCGTGGTCGCTTTGTACACGTGTGCCTTGACCTTGCCCACACACGGGATCAACTAAGTCCTAGAGGAGAACAACACAACGTCCACTCCAAGGGATAACTTCCAAATGAGGGTTTTTCAACAAATTGGGCTTTCAGAGCACCACAACTATCTCAATCCACACAATGGGATGAGCAACTTCAAAAACATCTCTCCTAATCCTAGTGATCAACAACTCGTTATCACAGCTTATCAGCTTACAACTCAATACCACAGCTCAACTCAACAACTTAAACAACATACAACTTTTCAACTACGTACAAAAATGCAAAGAATGCCAACAGTTCGGCAACACACACTGAGCACCACCTGAAACTCTTCACCATATGATGTCGGCATGACCTTTCTCCTAGTGGGGAATGGACATAATCGGGCCATTCCCCCCCGCGAAAGGTCAGCTCAAGTTCCTCCTAGTGGCGATCGACTACTTCACCAAGTGGATCGAGGCATGCCCACTCGCCAAAATCACCACCGAAAATGTGCAAAGGTTCACCTGGAGGAATATTGTCTGCAGATTCGGAATCCCTCACACCCTCGTTACTGACAACGGCCG